GAATAAAGCATTAATTGAACTAAACTGCGGCACATTCTTCTTTATTGGCTCGATCAGGAACGGCGGGTCGGAGCCGAAAGCCGCGGGGGATTCCCTGGACCCAGGGCGCGGGGTCCCGCACGGGGCACGGTGCTGCCCCGCGGGCAGCGCTGCCCGCGCATCCCACCCGCGGGCGGCGGCTTGTCCCGCCGCCCCGGCCGGGCGCTGCCCGCGGGCGCGCACCCCGCGCACGGGCGCTGCCCGCCCCAGCGCCGGCAGCGCTGCCCCCGCGCCCGGCGCTCACCTGGAGGTGGCTGACGATGCAGTAGGGCTCGGGCTGGCGGAGGCCGCAGGTGGAGGAGGCGGAGAGGCGGGCGGCGCGGCCGATGAGCAGGTCGCCGGTGGCGGGGTAGCAGCTGCCCTCGGCGCAGCCATAGCTGTACTCGGGCTCCTGTGCCGCCGCGGGCCACAGCGCTGCGCGGCCGCGGAGGAGAGAGGGGGACAGAGGGGGACAGAGGGGGACAGAGGGGGACAGAGGTGAGAGAGGGAAGCGGGAGCGCGGCCGGGCTGGGCGCCCCGAGCCGCCCCGGCGGGCGCTGCAGAGGCGCGCCCAGCCCGCCGTGCCCCGACGGCGGCCGGAGCGGAGCGGGAGTTACCGAGGCAGCAGCAGAGGTACAGCGGGAGGCGGCCCATGGCAGGCGGCAGGACGGGACGGGACGGGACACGATGGGACGGGACGGGACGCGGCTGCTGCTCCACGCGCCGCCGAAAGCCGCGGCTCCGGCCGCTCCACGCAGGCGCCGCGTTCCCGACTGCGGCCCCGCGCCGCCGGGCGCCCCCCGGCCCTCCTCCTCCCCCTCCTCCTCCTCCGCCCCTCCGCATCCGCGGGGCTGAGCCGAGCCCCTCCCGCCCGGCCCCCCGCCCTGGGGCAGCCGTGCCCTTAGCCGGGGCAGGGAGCGCAGCCGTCGAGGAAAGGCAGCTCGGTCGGGGTGGGAGGCAAGGAGAGGTCCTGTCCCGCTGTAGCCAGGGAGCCCCGAGCGGGGCACCGGGGACTCCAGCCCCCCGGCCCGCAGGCTGTGCTCTTTCCAGCGTCGGGAGCGGGCTCTGGGTAGGGTGCGATAATCGAAGGGGGTGGCAGATGGCGGGGGGGAAATTACCAGTCCGGTGCCCCCCCTCCCTGCCCCTGTCAGTGGAGAAGCAAAGAAGGAATGGGATTATTGACCTAATCCTGCCTTTTGCCGGTACGTGGATGAAGCCGGGCCCCTGCAAGGAAAGGATGGATGGATGGATGGATGGATGGATGGATGGATGGATGGATGGATGGATGGATGGATGGATGGACGGACAGTGGTGCATACTTGTGTGGTAAGGTCCAAATCCCAGCAAAGAAGCAGGGAGTTGGCAACTGTTACACACAAGGTTTGGTAGCCCCGCTCTGCCTGGTGCTGTGATGCCAGCACATGTGGCTCAGGAGTGCCGTTCCTGGGGATGGTGGCTGCCATACCTGGTCAGTTCTGGCCCAGACAGAGGCCCAGCAAGGCCAGCAAAGCCACTGCCGGGCTGTGTGGCATTCACTGGGAGCACACAGCGCTTTTGCCTTCCAGGGGCACTGGGGCAGCTGCAGGGAATGAATGACTGTGCTGGAGCTGCCCCTCCACCTCAGCCTCTCACATCAGTGCCCTGGCCTCTGCTGGGGAACATGAGGGCTTCATTGGCTGGTAGCAGAGTTTCCTCAGCACCCGGGAAACATGTTTAGTGTTAAATAATGCCTAGGAGTCTGTATGAAGGATGGCTGTGGCTGGGACAAATGTCTTGAGTTTATATACCCAGGTTTTGCTTGTGCATGTGTAACACGTGTACTTGTGTAAATCTTTACCAGGTACCAGCGTCCCCCAAGAACACTTTGCCCTCACTATTTGCAGTGCCAGAATGAAAACACACTATGGTCTGTCTGGCCCAGCAAACCCTGCCGAGGTAGGTAAATATGTTCATTCTCATTTTACAGATGGATAAGCAGAAACAGAGAGATACCAAGTGACTTGCCCTAAAGGTTAAACACCAGGTTTGAAACATAACCCAAGACTCTGAATTAAAGAACTTGTGGAGCTGTTTCATTAAAGAGATCCATAAAATTAAATCATTCTAAACTGACAGGGCAGGAATTGTAATATTCTAAACTTCTTCTGCAATGTTGTTTTCTAAATTCACAAAACAAATTCTGTTTCATAGCCCTGTTATATTTTTTAAGTTTCAGTACACCAAACATTTTTGTTCCCTCGCTAACAGAAAATGTTTTACTTTGCTGCTGGTAGAGCCTCCTCTGGCCCATGGCAGATGGGCAGCAGCATCACCCCATGTGCAACTGTTTCATTGCCACTGGACATTTTCTGTTTTTCCCAACTTTGATTGAAGTTTTCTTCTTTTGTTTTTTTTTTTGTTTTCATAGCCTTGTAGAAGTCCTATCCTCCCCTATAGGCTCCTTTGTGCCTTGGCATAGAAAGCATGAAAACACACTTTGTTCCAGCCTGGGGGTGACCCTGCCATGCGACATCAGGGATTGAGCTGGAGCTTCAGCCCCAGCCTGGGGTTGCCACCATCACCCCTAACCGTGGTATTTTTTCAGAGGTAAGGGAAACCACCACACTCAGTGTGTGAGTATTAGGAACAGGGCACTTGTGTCCCTCCCTCTCTGCAGTGCTCATGACAAACAGTGAGTGGGAGTATTTTAATTTGATTCTTCAAATGATAAAAATTCAGTTTCGTGTTGTGCCCTCTCCTTGTGGTTGGTGAACCACCTTTGCTGCCCTGGAGTGTCCGTTTTTGTGCATGGTTGGAAGTCTCAAAAAACAAAATTTCAGAATTTGACCCCAGTGGGACCCACTTGATCACCCATGTTCTTAAAACACTGTAGTGGTCGAATGCCTGGTAGACAGAGCTGATGATATGATTTTGATTAAATATATCTTTGATTATATGTCAGTTTGGTTGTGTTGCTTGCATTTTGATTAATGCCATTAAAGTAAAAATGCTCTACAGCAGGAAATTTATTTCAGTTATTTTTCAAGAAACAGTTTTCTGAAGCCACTTCTGCCCTCAAGGAGAAGGTCCAGGGGGAACTACAAATAGGTATTTTTTTATCTAGAGGCAGCATTTTCCCCACAAATTAACTTTGAAAAAATACTTTGAAAGTTTTTGTGTCATGTCCAGTGGGAAATGCTGCACAGTTGTAAACTTCTGAAGCTGTCACAAAATGGATTTGGAATTCTGTGGCCACTGGTCCCATCGGACCTACTTTCTTTGTGTGTCTGAGCATGCTTGGAGGCAGGGAGCGGAGGTTAGACTTTGTGCTGAATTTCTTCTTCCTGCTTCCGCTTTCCTTTCAGTGATTTCTGTTTCCCCCCATGGATACATCTCCTCTCCAGGCCTGTTTGACTGCCTTGTGTTTACAGATTTCTTATCAATGCAGCTTGTGGAAAGTCATACAGCAATTCTCATAGTCAACAGTGGATTTTAGGAGGAAGTTCTTTTTCAACTTTTTGCTTGTGAATTCAGATTTTTAAAGCTTATTTTCATACAAACAAAATAATTTTGGTTTATATGCAATTGGGAATTTCTGTCAAAGAGCTTCAGTTTGCCTCTTCCAGCTGCAGTACAGCAGAGTTGCATTGAAGCCTGCAGGAAATCCTTCATTACCTAGAGACCTGCATGTGAGCAGCTTGGTATGTGCTCGGAGTAAAATAGAGATGTTTGATTTCATTATGCCAGAGTCAGCCTAAATACAATCATCTGATTACAGCCTAGTAACTTAGAAAGAAGCCTCACACCCCACTTTTTCTGAAGTGCTAAAATTCAGAAGCTAACCCACAAATTCCATGCATTCTTGCGTTCAGGTGGCTTTGTTGGATTATATCAAAATTATAATTTGATTCCATTATTTTCACAATAGAATGTGTTACAGTGTAATGCATGTTGCTCATTGCCCTGGAGCACAGCTGGTTTGAGTTAGAGTATCTCTGAAATCTCATCTGCCAGCAATTCCCACCCAAGCCCCCAGCACATACCAATGCTACTAAAGCTCTTGTAAACATAGGGTGATAACTATGCAATGTTTATCTCCGTTGGATCGATAAGGATTGTTTCACGGGTGTTGCTGGCATGGGTAAGTGTTAAGAGCCCTGTGTTCCCGCAGGGCATTCCTGAGTTTTACAGATGTGGTCTGGGCTGCATCCAAGCTCTGAAGCAGCACCGTGCTATGAAGTCCCTCGCTGTGGGACAGTCCGGCCAGGAATTACACGACTGCTTTTGACTGAGGAAGACCCATAATTAGTCTGCTCTGCGACCTGCAGGAGTTTGTATACTAAGGGTGGGAGTTTGAAACTGAGGCATAGCTCACTTCAGTCAAACTCTGGCATGTCTATATCAGTTGCATAAACACAGATTCCTTCTTTATTAATGTATTAAAAATTAATTACAGCCTAAAATTTAGGCCAATTCATGTGTTCCTGATGGCTAAAAGAAATTGCTGAGTGAGCCCTGACTTCTGTGAAGTGCTGCATTGTGGGAGAAGAGCTGGAGAAACTGTTTTTCAACATTTCTAGCCCTTTAGGCTCGCAGCTTAAACCGAAGAGCTGGAGTTATTCTCCAGTTGCTGGTTACATTAATGAAAACTGTGTGAAACCCCTTATAAACGTAAGAAAAACGGGCACTGCAGGAGCGCCGTAGCCGGAGAAAAGATGTTGAAGTTGCTCTCGGCGTTCAGCATCTGAGCACTGCCATCCAGCGGGCACCGGGGAAGCGGCTCTGCCGCCCGGCGCTGCAGCAGCTGCTGCCGCCGCATTTCCCGGGAGCACGGCGGGACCCTCGCACGGTCAGGGCTCCTGGCGAGACAGCCCTGCTCTGCCTCAGTGCAGAGATGCGGCTGGAGCAGGGACAGTGCCTGGGTGTGCTGCTGGCTGTGCTGCTGGCTGCTGGAGCCTGCAGGGCTGCATCTGCATCGCCCCAGCTGCGTCCGTGCAGTCCCTTGCAGGGCCATGGCACAGCCACGGTTTTTAGGGGTTGGCAGAAGACACCATGTGTTGGGAGTCTGTCTTTACAGAGACAGCTACCAGCAGCTCTCTGAGCAATCCTCCTTTTGCATTTCCAACCCTCCCAGCACAAGAAGCTTTGCACAGGAGTATATTGTACAGCTCCCTCAAAGACTACACCTGATTACTAAATCAGATGGTTTATTACAAAGAATTTCCTATTTCCATATAAACTCAACTGGGCAAAAGAAGAAAAAGAGAAAAAGATAAAATTGTATTATTCACTAGGCCATTTCAGATATATTTCCAGAGGAGAGTGGCCTGTGCCAGGATTCTTAGGATGTGGTAATCATGGTGATTTCAGCTTCCTTTTACCTGATGGTCTGTTCAGACCCTAACTCTTGCATGTTGCATACTTGCTTTCCTGCTCCATAATTTCATTTTTAATGGCTATCACTTGTTCTTCTAGTTGTCTCAGTTGCTCTGCCTTATCTTGTTTGGTTTGATTCAGTTCCTGAAGCTTCTTCTCCAAATCTGGAAGAGCAGAGACATGCAATGATGTTCACATTTGTTGTGTAAGTGAAATCCAGGGATTAGCAGCATTTTTTTCCCATGAACTTTAGAGGCAATAAGCCCATTTTAAATGGGGAATGTTACATATGCAACTGGAGGGAAAAGTCTGGCTTCTGGATAGCAAGAGGAGCATGACAACCTTGAAGAAATTAATATCTCAGCATGTGCTTTTGCCCATCAGCTAGGATGGGACAGGACATGGAGCTCTTAAAGGATGTGGTTTAAGTGGAAACTTGGAGGAACAGTGTGTCCCCTGATGTGTGTAAAGCCTAGACAACTTGGATGTGATGGGCTTAGGTTTCCCTCACTTGTGTAACTGTTTTCTGATGGTTCCCATGAAGCTACACCAATGTAAACATATTGGTGTTGAGTTAAACCCACAGGATTCACTGCCTATTTCTAATACCCTTATTGTCCAGGGATTTGGAGTGACTTGGAGCATCTTAACACCTTTCCTCAGGGTAGGTGCTCAGAATATTTATTTGGATCCTGTCCTGAAGAGCTTTTTCCTGGGATAGAGTTTCTGCTTCAGTTTTGCTGATGTGACATGGTATTTTCTGATACTGAGCCTGGGAGGGCCCTTGGCCTAAGGGTTCCCAGTGGGAATGCTCAGACCTTAACTACAAGGAGAATTGGGTTTCCTGTGTGCAGGGACATGAGGTGTGCTCTTCCTTTTTGGTAACCCTCTGAGCCTGTGTGCACAGCGGTGCCAGTACAGCCACAGCAGCCACGGTCTCCAGTGCCCGTGACCCCTCTGCTGGACAGGCACGGCCCCACAGATTCAGGGCAGGCCAGCTTCGGTCTCCACAAGCTGGTAGTTGTAGCTGGTTTGTCCTGCCATTGCTCAGAGACAATGCCTGAAGGGGAACAAGTGTGGACCGATGGAAAACAGCTGCCCTAGAGCTCTGTCACACACGGCGTCCCCTGGGTGATGTGGGGAAGGACAGAGCGTAGAGGAAGGATCGTAGGTCCAAGTGCCCAAAGCAAAGGCATAATTCAGGGCCTCCAGCCAAGTCTGCAGGCAGGTGTTACACAGGTTTTGCACTTGCCCTGTTTTTAAATGGAAGAAAATCTCTGCAAGTCCCTGTGTGGACAGTTCTTAACCTTTGCTTACAGCAGTGGATTTAAATCAGAAAAAGTACATAAGCCAAATCAATTCAGTTACTTTTAAAATTAGTAGCTTCAGGCAGCATTTTTCACCAGGTAAATTGTTTTAAACCTAATTTTGGATGAACTTAGTGTGTTAGTGTCTGTGGGCAAGGTCTTCAGCTATGACTACAGAGTTCTTACCACTCTGTGGAAGTGAGAACTTCACCTGTTATTCTTTTTATCTTCTTTTCAGTTTCTTCAGCCAGTTTTTCTGCTTCTTCTTTCAACTGCTTCACTTTTTCTAGTGTTACTTTTGGAGGTCCTTGGGTTTTTAGCTTTTCTTGAAGAATGGTGTACTTTCTTTTAACATCAGTAAATTCCTGTAACAAAATGCCATTACTTTTAAAGAGCATTTCATAATTAATCTGGTGTACAGAAGGAAGTTTTAATACTTTTTTTTAACATCCTCTTTGAACCAAAGTTTGTTTCTCATTCTCTTAAATATTAAAAAATACATCCTTAATTTGTAGACATTGAAAAATATTTTGCAAAACATGATAGACATCAATTAAAACAAACTGCCAGTGGAGTAATCTAAAGGAGAGGGAGGGGCAAGGAAATAAAGAAAATATTATTTAAGTTTATGGTGGTTTTTCTTCTGTTGATAGGGCTTTTCTGTAAATTTCATTTTACCATGAGGCTTAATTAAAATTTCATGAATTATCTGTAGCAGCATTGGGTTTTTTACATTTTCAATTGCTGAAACATTTACTGGCTAATCTGTTCCCTGCTGATCTAGGTTGCTGTTGAGGCTGCAGTTTAGCTTTTGCCTACGGTTCTTGTAACTTGGAAGTATGGCCATGTTCCAAGCTTGTGCTGAGGGTACTTGGTTCTTGCCATTTTAGCAAATTTCTGGCTGCAGTTTCAAAAAACTGAACTACTGGAAAGCACTGAACCAATCAAAAACCCCAAGTAACTCCCACGGCAATTTTCTCTGAAGGAGAACAACACAGGATGAATTGTCGGGGTGCTTCCATCACTCAGATATTTTAATATCTGGTTTTGTGATTTGTTCTGTTGTGTTTATTAGTGCCCATGGTGACTACAAGTCTTATACACAGTGCAAGAAAAGAATGTCATGAAGTAGCCAGAGAAATGTGTATGTTTTCTGTCATTCAAGCAAGCAGAAGTGTATGCCAGAAACCTTAAAATAAAACACAAATTCTTCTTAACAGTGGCATTTTACACTGCATGGCATGAGGAAAATACTAAGTTTTGATGACAGCAATGCTTCTGAAGCAAAAATACTATTAAACATGGAGGAAGTTTTTTTCTATTAACACATGACAGAAGGGCTTACATTATCAGTTTTCTGGGCTTGCTTGTGAGCTGCTTCTGCCTCTGCTCTTGCCTTTGTAGCTTGAATCTTGTTCATCAGCGTTTTTGCCTGCCATGTGGCACTTTCATCTTCCATCTCAGTCTGTTTAACTAACAAGTCATTTAGTTTATCGTTTGTCTTGTTCACTTGCTTCTCAGCCTAAAACAGAGCAATTGAAGGCTGTGATTTCTTATGCAACATCCATCCAGCTTGTGGCACGTGGTAATGAGGGACTGGCCATGGATTAAGAGACACTTAAGCAGTATGGAATTGGTGTAATATCTGTGCCACATTCTGGTTTTGTTTATTTATCTTAAGGAAACTTCAGAATGAAGTATCTCTTTCTAATAAATCTAACAAATAAATTAAAATATTTGCAGCAAGATACCTGAGAGGTTTGTGTTCTAATGCCTTGTATCTCTTCATTTAGCTTTATGATGGTGTTTTTGGAGTGTCCTTGGGACTTCACAATATTTTTTAGTTTATTATTAATTTCATCCACTGGTAGAAGAGCTTTAGCTGCTTTGCTAAAATGGAAAAAAGGAAGTGTATGTAGTATTGTGGTGTGGTAAGCAAAGCAAGAACAAGTTTCAGGAATGGCATACAGGAATGTTTCCTCAAGTCCAACAACAACCATTAAAAATGTGCTAAATTGGTAAAGCAAAACCTCAGAAAAGGACTTTGTGGGGGGGCACCTGAGTTGCTGTACTCAGGGTGAGGTGGATGCTGCTGGCTGCCTGGTGGTGCACAGCTAGTAGGGAAGACTCATGGGTGAACATGTTTTTTTCTCTTGTTGGGTCTTTCTCACTCTTATTCAAACCACCTAGTGAGCCAGATGTAATGCTCTACCAGGTCCAAGGTGGAAGTAACTGGCTGCTTTGGCCTCTCTGATTTGGCAGGCAGAGAAACCAAGAGCTGTCAGGAGCTGCTTCCTTTCAGCATGTTGGCTCCTGCAGCCAAGTGGTAATGGCTCCTTCCTGCTGGAGAGACCCTGTGGAAAAGGCAAGGTGAAATCTCCATCTGAACTCCCCTTCCAGTGTTACTGGGATACTGCCAGGGGTATGGAGCAGTCCTACTGTGCACAGTGTCACCCCAGCTGGAGCTGGCAGTATGAAAATACTCTACTTACTCAGCTTCTTGTGCCTCCACCAGCAGTGTCTGAGCATCCTCCCTTTTTGTGTTTCTCTTATTATCTAGTTTGTACTTCTCACAGTGGTTCAAAATGCTTTGGAGTTTGCCAAACATGCCTGTGAGCTCTTGTGGAGTCAGGGGAAGGTTTATTTGCAGAACATAATTTGCCACCTTCTCAATGTCTTCTGGAGGTGCACTCTCATCTGCAACAGAAATGGAGCTGAGAGTATCCTGAAGTAGCTCCTTCCTCCCAGTAAATGGTCATTATGGCTGCCTACCCTTTGAGTTATGTGGGAGAATAAAACTGACAGGCACAGCAAGGGGGTAAGAGAATTATCTCCAACATTTTGTAATTTAATATTATGCTTCCAGATACTGCTGTTAGTGTTGTCAGAACTGGCTGAAATGAGGATTTGAACCCACTTTGAACTGAGTTATTAAAATTCTGATGTAGGACAGAGCCCGTGGAGGGCTTTAAATCAGTGCCCAGCACAGCTAGATGTGTCAGAGCCCATTTCTCCCTTGGCCCACAGATCAAAGAGGTGCTGGTGAGGCTGGGGTGTGAATGGAGATTTCCAAGCTGGCCAGTGGGTGTAATCCCTTCCCTGAAGTTGCCACAATATTGAGAAAGTGGTTCCTTTGCTAGTTAATGAGAAAGGCTAAGCTGCAGAAGGAACTTGGGTCAGACTTGCATAGAATGGGAATTTACAATAGAAAAAAACCCCATGTTTTGACAATTCCCATTACAAATGAGCCTGTCCTAGCTCTTTGCTAAGAGGCAGAGGCACACACAGAGTAGTCAAGCCTTGAGAAGTCACATCATCAGTTTTGTCTTCTGCTCACTTACATTTTTAGACAAGACCTTGTATGATAAAGCACTTGAGATATATTAAATGGGTTGTGTTAATCTCCATAATAAGTCAGCAAGAATTAAATAGAAGACATTGTGTGCAAACAGTAGTGTATTTCTAAGACCTATTTTCTGTAGAAATATATTCATCCAGAATCACCATTCAAATCAATGTTGAGTACAGTATATTTAATATAACTGCATGCTTCTCAGCTGTTCATGTTCTTAAACTTCAATTAACCAAACAAAGATTTGGAAAAAATTTTTTATAATTGTTAATAAACGCTGTGTATCTACTAAGAAACATAAAGAAGAGGGAAAGATGGAATTATCAGTGGCTATCGATAAAAAATCTGAGACTCATAAGAAATTAAATGAACCTAAATCTTCCAATTCAATAAAATAATGTAAATTTTTCTGAACAAAATAAGTCCTCTGTCTTCTACCCTTGCTCCCATTTGGACATAGAGGTATGAATTACTATAATCCACAGAAATTCATGAGATTAAAGAAGATCCTGCCACATTTGAACCCTTTCGTGTACATCTAGTAAAAAAATTTTGGATCTGTTTCCTACAGCATTTTCCTGCAATCCCAAGAGTGGAAAGTTTTTAGGGTATATACGGTTGTTTTGTTATTTTTTTTATGAGAGCTGTGAAGTTCTACCAGAATCCTTTGATTCCTTGCGTTTCAGCTTTATGGAGACGATGGAGTGGGATGTGTCCTAATTCCCACGCTCCCTACCAGGAGCCTCTATTTATGGGCCTGGAAGAAGGGGGTGGAATAACAATTTGAGGATGCATTGGACATTCCTGGCCATTATATATTGTATGAAATTATTTTAGTAGTCCTTTACTCAGATAAACTAGGAACAGAGAGAGTTACTTGAAATTAAACACAGTAATAAAAGATGATAATCGGAATGTCACAGATATATTGTAAAATTGATACAAAGTACTATCACCTGGGAGAAAGAAGCACTAGAAAAAAGGGATTGAAATAATTTGCACAGCTCAGGATGTAGATGAGAAATTTCATGCATACACAGCTAGATCATCTTCTGGCTGTCCATTAGGCTGTATTACACTGGAATATATTTATGAAAAACTAGTCAAAAAGAACATTGCATATTTACCTAACAAGAAGTTTTTCACTTTTTGGATGAACTCCTTAGTGGTCTCTCCATCAGCTTCAATTTGATTCATAGCTGTCACCAGTTGTCCATTAAATCGTGAGCCTTTCAGTTTGCTGTCTTCTGCCATTTTTCTAATGCTTTTAACCTGGAAATATTATTAGAAACAGCAGTGCCATTTTCTGGAGGTTATCTGTCACTGCTTGGCAAGTTGGGCTCTGACACAAAAGTAATTTTGATCCAAGCCTCATCTGGAATCACTTGATGTGGCTTTGAAAAGTAGTAGGAGACCTCTTTGGGGAACTCCAGAAGCTGCTACATCCTGGTCTTCATCTGGCCTCAGAAAAAGCCTAAATCAAGCATTTTATTTTCTCTCTGCAACCATTGCTAAACCACAGCCCCCTTCTGTTTCTAAAAAAAAAGAGTACTGACAGTTATTGTAATACTGTAGCTTGTCAGGGATCAGATTCAGATCTGATTAGAGAAAATATAATTTCATTTGTCATTTCATATTGGACTTGCTGTTAAAAAAAACAGTTAAAGAGGACACAAGTAAGGTAGAGTTCAAGGCTTGTCTTTAAAAGTTACATTTTACCACTGAATTAGTATTCTTGATAATTTAAATGAGAACTTTAGATTAATTACTAAATTCCAACAGTATTTTACTTTGGTAAGGGCTTTGCCTTCAAGAATGGCCCAGGTACATCTGTGGTCTACTGAGGGAAGGGATTTGGTCTTTTCCAATGCAACGAGAAAAATGCTGATGTTTTTATTTCTGAAATGTCTCCAAATAGTTCACTGATATTATCACGGAGGTGCCTGAGGCTTGCGCGCACCAGAGGCGATGTCCCGGCAGCCCGGCTGGCGCTCCCGGCTCGGGGGATGCCTTCGGCTGCCGCCTCTCCGCGTCCTGGGGCCCCAGTTGCACATTTCCCAGCCGGCTGGCCGGGATGCAGCGTCGAGTGCATTTTAAGAAGAGGAAATGGATGCCCAGGCATCCTGCAGGGACAGGACAAAGCCACAGCTGAATGTAATTTCTGCTGGAACTTGTGCTTTGCCTATAACTGTAACAGGCATCATATCTGACTGTTAATAAGAGCAATCTCCTCACTGGTGCTTTGGGATTTGTCTTTTGTTCCCTTGGCATGTGTTGCATTGGCCACACTTCGCTTGAATTATTTTTCACTGCTACTGTGCAGTATAGTCAACTAATTGATGCCCTCCTGAACATTACTGGGGGCTGAAAAGCTTCATCTTGAAATTATTTTAAAAAGTAATTTATTGGCAAACACAAGAGTAGTATAAAGTTGTATAAATAGAGCTTAACGCCATGCACAGCAGTAATCCCATTGCAATAAGCATGTCAGGCTACTGACAAATGGTGCCTTTTGAATCTTTCCCAGTAAAAAATTAGACAATTCTAGCCTGAAACATAGACACAGGGCACCATGACTTTTGAAGTCTTAGCAGCTGTGAGGAAGAAGATCTAGATAAAGACAATCTCTTGGCGGGGCTGGAACCTGGTACTGAATCATGATAGGTCTATGATGCTGGGACAGAGTCCATTACTATGTCACTGCTCTTTGTCCGAAGAGCAGGTGAGTTTTTGTAGATTTGTGACCTCCCAAATCTCTCATCCTCCATCCATTTCACTGAACAAATGTAGGTTTGATATACAGCACCTGATTCCCAGGTTCCTGTAGCTGAGTAGTCAAGTTATTTAGCAACACAGCAGTCTCCTCAGCTTTCCTGAAGGCCTCAGAGGAGAAAGGAAGAGCTCCAGTGCAGTCTGGGCCACCACACTTCCTTAGTCCATGACTGTCCTGGCACAAAGCTCCCCCACAGGCTGCTGTGACACATGGCTGGTTTCCTGGAACACCACAGATCTGCAATAGGGAAGATGCTTATGTCAGGACTCCTCTGAGGGCCTGAGACACACTCCTGAGGGAAGGAAGGTGTTTGACATCATCTGAACATTGAATATAGGATAGGATATTTGTAAAGCATCTGGTATTTGTAAAGTTGGGTATCACTGCCAGTTACAGGTCCCTCTCCCCTAGTTTGAAGGATGCAACAGCAGCCCATAGCTCTGAGCATCCTCACAGGAGCCATTTGTTAGGCTCCATGTGTTGCACTAAGACCCTTGCTTCACTCTTCTTCAGCAAAAGGGCTGAAAACATTCCCTAGCTATATCCAGCCCATGGGTCAATGGCTTCTTCTAAAGGATCCAGGTAACCTCTAACAGAACAAGGTGCCATCTCTAGTCCTCCATGTATTTTGACACAGATATGGAATCTGTAGTTTTACGTGGATGATTTCTTTCAGATCTGTCATGAATTGGCACTGTCAGGTATTTACTGCTGCCCTGCAGAAGAATAGAAATCACCTTGCTTCCCAGAGGTAACACAAAGGATATGTCCCCATCCACTCCAGGATAAAGTCACTCTGGTTAGTTTAACTTACTCATGGAGGTTTGCCTTCATCTTCCTGAAATTACTTTGATGACCTCTTGAGACTAGAGAGTGCTTAAACAGTTCCTTGTGCTGGGAGCAATGGCTTCCAGAGGGTTGGAAATAACTACAGCTGAGAAGTGTAGTTGTTTTTGATCTGATTGGCTGTGGCAAGGAAGTGCCATTTTCCAATGCATGCATGTAAAATGCTTAAAAATGCATGTAAGCACTCTTTTAATATGAAACTTACTAACAATATCAAAAAAGGGATTTTTTGGTTTTGGGGGTTATTTAGCTTTCGTTCAAAATCCACAGCACCTACCTTTTCATTTAAGTTTTGGATGTCAGGGCTTTTGATCATTCTGAGCTGTTGTAGCACCATGCTTGTGTTTAAGACTTGATGGTCGAACATAGTGAGTGTGTCGCTCCTGGTGTACTCTGAGTGTCTTACAATAGGGGTTGTCCTCCTGGTCATCTGTTCTGCCAGCAGTGATACTTCAGAGTGTTTCCTAATGTTGCTGATGGCCTCTGTACCAACAGAAATAGGGTTGAGTACCAACTGCATTTGGTTGCATTCAGTTTGTGCATTTACTTAAATTCTGGACAATTGCTGAGTGACAGGTGATTCACTGGGTTTGATTTGGGAAGCAGGGAGGAGCAGGAGCTGTCTTTTCCTCAGCCAAGCTTTTTAATCCCTTACTTATCCAGTTTCCAAATAGAAATAGTTATCAATGCTCATAAAACCCGCTAAACTAGATGAAAATATGGTGGGTCCTATGTCATCCACAGGATGCCAAGGTGTTGAGAAGGCAACAGAATAGACAGAAGTATGAAGGACATCCCATTATTGACATTTACTGCTACTGATCTGCATTCATCTGTAGCTCAGCCATTGCTGCCATTGTTGATTGGATAAAAGCTCCTGATATTTATTATGTTTTAGGCAGGAAAACTCTTTCTGCTAGTGTTCATGAAATGATCTGCTGCCTGATTGTGAGTCAGGAAAGCAACTGTCCTTTCTGTTCAGCATAGCACCCAAGAGTTAAGTGGCCTGCTGGAGTGAGACCAAAATTTAAATTACAAATGGGACTATATGAGGGCTTTTTTGTCTCTGGAAAATCCAGTTTCAGGACTGATGAATTAAAAAAAAAGCACTTCTGTGATAGGCTATTAGGCCAGGCTAAAAATGCTTTCCAGCAAGAGTCATGTTTGGTTAGTGAAAGCTTTTCCTTAAGTAGGCTCAAAAGGGTTGGAGAATATTACATTTTTTGCAGATTAATAGCCTGAGAAAAGGATTCAGGCTCTTTGCAACACACATAATTTAAAGCTGTTACTGCTGCTGTCGAGGTTTCCCAGATCTCTGGAGAGCCAAGATTTGTGCCCACATTCCTAGGCAGAAATATGTCCAGAGCCAGAATTGATGTGTTAGCAGTGAAAAAGCATTAGAGGTGTCTGATTAACACCTCTCTTTGTTCCAGATAACTGACTCAGTTACTAGTTGAAGTCAAAGACAAGACACTCAAGTCCTGTGTGCTTTGATTCAGGCTCTAAAGTCCCTGACTGTGCTTTGATTGAAGCTGAACAATGTTTAGTTATCATGTGGAATCAGGGCTATTTATTTATCTTGTAATTCTTGGAAACAATATACAGTTTAAAGTCAGCTCTTAATACAAAATACCTTGCAAGAGACTGCTATAACTCCTCATCTAAGCCAGAGACTTTTTCTGTGCAACAATTCCATTGCAGGAATATTTCACAGTGGTTCAGCTCTCCATTAAGTGGCCTAAATGCATTTTCCATGTTTGTTTTTTGATGCAGCTGTAGAGAGTCCAAGTTCCTTTATATTAAACACAGTGTCTTAGCACAGGCTTGATTTACAACCTAGGAAGCTTTTCTCACTGCATTACTGCATCTCAGTGGCTGCAAAGCCAGGGGCCAGTGCTGGAAAGCCATCATTTAATGAGATCTCATAGACTGCAAACATTCTTTTAAGAGCACTTGCATCTTGGCTTTTTCCAGTGGTTTTAATTTATCATTAGATATTGATGTTTCCAGGTCATCTAGCTGAATGTATGCTTGGCAGGAAGACTCCAACTCTTGATCCTCTGCACAGAGATATAGGCAGGAGCTCATTCTCTGTGTGTGCCTAGGGCACAAGTGCCAGATGTGCCCCAGATGGTGTATCTACCCCAGCAAAAAGGAGAGGAAAAAGCAGACAGAGCCATATATAGGATATGCTGCTGGTCTGAAATGGACTGAGGAGCCAGTCTCTCCCTGGGTATCAGAAAAGCTGTTTATCTTGAGGGAAATGTTACTTTTGTGCTATTATATGCTTGGTAGCAGAACCAATGAATATTTGTGGCCTTGATAGGAAATTAATCTTAAATTCAAGGTCTTCCCCTCCCCACACTCCCATGTGCTTTTTATAGGGCTGTTTATCTGTCTCCAGAGGCCAAAAGATGAAGTGGGTTTGGAATGTGACCAGAGAGCACCATGGATGCTTCAACTTTGTGTCCACTGACCTTCCTGGGATTTATTGTTTCTTTGCCTTTTTGCCTTTCTGTCTGTGCAGGCTCAGTGGAATTGAGAAGTGGAGCCTGGGAGAGCTGTGCTGGCTGCTTGCAGAGGGACCTGAGCCAAGGAACTGCCCCAGGGGGCTGCCAAGTACAACAGGGCACAGGAACCCTAAATTTTAGTTAATCCCTCTTTTCCCCTCTCCCATTTGCCCCACTTTGCATTTTGTTGACTTTTCCTTCTTTTTTTTTTTCCTTTGGTTAAAAAAAAAACCAAAAAAAAACCCCCAAAAAACCACAACAACTTGTCTGGGCCAAGTTTCTCTTGCCTGAATGAAACAGAGGAACTGTAAGTGGGAGAGCATTGCTTGTAGCTTGTGTTTTTTGTGGTGAGCACCCTATCTTCTGGGGGTTCATATTTTGGTAGCCATAGCTTTGGAGAAGAGTCTGCTGACCATCTCCTGCCATTGTGGATGATGTAGCTTCTGTTCAAGATCCCTGCCTGATACATCCCCATTTTTCTCCAGAAACCAGTGTAGGACATCATCACTACAGCTATTAGCAGCTGATGGAGACTATACTTAGCTCAAGCACAGGTGGTGTAATTCTTTCAAAAATGCCAAGGAACTCAGTTCTGCTTTCACATTTTTTGATGATGGAGAGCTACTTCTGTCCCACATAAAGTCAAGTATTTTCCCATAGGAACCCTAAGAAGCTGCACTATGACAGTATGCTTTAATTAAATAAACTGTTCCTGTACAAGAGATTCTTTAAGCAAAAAGAGATTCTATGAGCAAACATAGAGATTCTATGAGCAGAAGGAGTCAAACACAGTGGGGGAATCCTTTGCTGTTCTACTGCATGTGAGTCTGTACTGTGAAACTGGGTTTCTTTTACATCCTTATGTAAGCATTTGGATTTATGAGACTTCTGACTGATGTGACCCTGGCACATGCATCTGAAATTTGGGATGCTAGAAATCACAGCATTTTAAGATAAAAGGGAATTTGGAAAGTCAGTAGAAAATGTTAATGTCAACATTTTTGTGCTACCATAGCAAGCTAAAATCTAGGGATCTTTGAAATATTGTATGGTTCAATGATGAGAAAGCATTCCAGTATTTCAGGGAAAATGTCAACCCATTTTAATTCATTGCTGACTTACCTTTGAAGTTCAAGTACTGAAAACTTTGATGCAGATGTATTTTTTGTTGTAGAAGTTCAAACACTAGGTTGGCTTCTTCTACAATATCTTCTATGCTCTTGTTAAGGTCAGGAAACTCAAAGGGCAAATGGGGAGCCATCTGTGCAACTTTTTGTCTGAAAGGGATAAGATAATTATGCAGAAGTCAGACTAGATTGTTCTTAAACTAGAACTGAGTTACACAACATTTTAGAGGGCAAGAGATACATTTATAAATAAGCAAAACCATTTTATTATATGGCTTATTTAGAAAACCCTTAGTATGAAGTGGAAAATTCCAGCATTTAAGTATATGTCTGTATGGGTTAGGCATATATTAAGGATTATTTTGTTCATAGATGTATTGAAAACAGTGGCTTAGTAGATCAGTGTCTGTGTGCTGATCAGAAATGGGACTTGATATGTAGGGATGGCTGGTGGAGTCTGGGGGAAGATAGTTTCTCAGCTAAGGGACTTTTGCAGGAGCAACCTAACCCTTACTGAAGGTAGCCCTGAAAATCCCTGATGACTGAAAAGGCCTCCAGTGAAAGGACAGGATGTCTCAAAACGCGTTCAGTTTCAGAAATGGCATCTTCAAAGGCTTTGAAGCGCATGTCACAGCTGGGCATTCGTCCTCCTTTATCTTCCAGCTTTGCTGCAAACCTCATTAACCCCTGCACACTCTGAGCAAGAGCAGCAATTTCAGTGTCCCACTGATCAAAACAAAGATGACACTGAGTGCAGGAGGGAAAGTCCTTCTGAAAGCCGCGGCTGCACTGGTCGCAGAGCCGGCCGGTGACACCAGCACGGCAGTTACATGCGCCGGTGGCTTTGTCACACGTGGGCTGCCGGGTCCCCTCCAGGTTACACTCACATGCTGCAAGAAAGGAACAGCAGGTTACATCCAGTTGTTCCTTTTCTGTGGGATTAATGCATGAAAAAGGCGCATTTCAAGATCATAAAAGCAAACCAGTGTTTGAGTTAGAGCAAGGTGGACTGCACAGTAGTGGCTCTTCTTCATCTCTGACTTTCATCTTAACCATTGAAATAAAAATATAGATAAATAATATGAACACTTGTCCATCTCATACACACAAACATATGAAAGGCTGTTTCTCTACATGTATGCCCTGTCTCCCCTGTGAATATAAAAGGTAAACAATTATGTTGAGGCAGTTCCTAATCCAGTTGTCCCACATAATAATACTCACAAACGCAATGCATCTGGGGATTGCCGAAGTAGTTTTCCTCACATTCATTACAGAATCTTCCACTGTAGCCTGGCTTACATGGACACTGGCCTGTAAGCTGTAAAGACAGATAGGGTTAAATAACTTCCAGCAGATCCTAGGGCTGGATATACATTATTTCAGCTCTACAAGAGCTGCAGCAGCACTGCTTGCCCACAGCCTTTGAATACCATGGTTTGCACAGTATTGGCCCAGCTTTCCTATCTTCCTCCTGAAGGTCCTGAAAACAAAATGCACTCTGAGAAATGGCTTTACTTTAGTAATGTCAGAGATTTTGTATGATCCAGTCTACTGATGCTATTTGCATCCTCTGGCAATGATCTGAGAGGATTCTTTTCCTTTGCAAAACAGTATTATTTTTTTATTTTTTGTTATATCTAAGAACTCATTTTAACATTCAACTTAAATGACACAATATATCAATTGTAATTGAAAACCTTGAGGGTATATTATGCACATTGCCCTAGAATAAATATTTTGTAATTCAGCTATTAAATTTATCTCCAGGAAATTACAACTTTGATAACCACTAGTAGTTCTTTGAAGTCAAGAACTAAATTTGCTATAAAAAATAATAAATCTACTGAATAAACTGGAACAAACAGAGAGCATATTGAAAGAAAAATGTGCAAACACATCAGGAAGATTTTAGGATAAGCTCCTGGTGCTCTGAAGTCAATGGCAAAATTACTGTTGACTCCATGGGACCACAATTTCACCTCTCTATTCTGAAATGCTGTTTAATTTTTTCTACATTCTAGCCCTAAAATGTGCACAGGAATTAAAGATGAGAAAAGGTACTCTAGTAGTATAGATAGATGAGGCTTTATTAATGTAATGGCCACAGCTGCTACTTTATGAAAATAAACATTTAAAAAATACTCATCAGAGTATCAGGGTCCAAGTTTGGATTTCCTTCTTCCCTATATGCATTTTAAGAGGCAGCATTTTCCTGTGGCATCTTTTTATAATGTATTTCTTAGATCCACTTGACAAAGAAACAACCCGCAAAGAGAAATTGCTGACCAAATTGCAAAGCCACATTATCAGAACAATACTTTTAATTGATAATGACTCACAGTGTGATTGCACCAACTACAAGCTTCCAAAGAATTTTTTGTTTGCAGGGAATATGACAAAAAGAAATCTTCATTTATAAGAGGGTCCCCACTTTGCCATGTCAAAATACCTGGAAAACAGTAATTTTCTTACTTGGTTGCACTGGTTGCTTTGGGAGTTTTTTGGATCACAGTCACAGGTCTGACATCCTTTTCCACTAGCCAGGTCCCAGTAGCCAGAGGCACACTGGTCACACGTGGCACCCAGCACATTGGGCAGGCAAGGACAAGCTCCTGTGGCTGGGTCACACAGGCAGGCTGCGTCCCCCCCTGGGCACATGGCAGGGTGAACCCCTGCCAGATTGCACGTGCAGACTGGAAAAAGAAGGACAATTACTACTGCAGACAGTAATATAAACAGCTGATGGACAATCAGAGTTAGATATAAAGCCCACACTGGAGGTTTACTTTTTGTAACCTTTTAGTGACCTTGAACATACACATCTCATACACGTTGCCAGTCTTTCTGTAATAACTTATATATGGCTTTGAGAAAACTTACTGTGAATATACAATACTTTTAATACAGGCACAGAAAATGAAGGCTCAGTGAATTTTGAATCTTATTAGAATGCAATGTTAAGTATGTTGGGTAAGTTGATTTACAGTAGGCATTATCCAGTGTGGGAATCCTTAGTAAGCCGAGTAAGATAAGAAGCCTTCCTTGTGAGGAGCCAAAAGTTCTTGCTTAACAATTTCTAACAGACATCTTCCAAGAATGAATGAGGGATGGGCTTGGACTGTATTTTAGAGATTCACAAAAAAATAGTTTCTTAACTATACTTATAGTTATCTTGGCCATAAAAATTAAATCATCAATCAGGCACATCTGTGAAAATGAGTTTAGAGAAAAATTGGGAAGAAGCTTGTGCCTTGCTTTTCCTTACACTCCTACTCTCCTGTTCAAAGTGCTGAGTTACTGACGTGTCCTCATGGAATCTATTAAATTGCCTGAATGCTCTCACTCCAGCCATTTAATGAAAACAACTGGTAAGGCAGGAAGTTCAGCAAGAGATCATCTGGTTAGCTGAGCTCTAACTGAGCTTAGCTGACGTCAGCCAGCAGCATGGATAAACAATTATCACTGATTCCTTTACTTTTGATTCCTTCCTGAATAAGCTGAATGTACATTTATTTTTCTAACAGAGAGTACTGCTTTCATTTCACAAATGCGTATTTCCTAGGAATGATATTCATTATGAGATTTAGCAAGACTTGGATGACAAAGAATTTAATAGATGCCATGTTATTTGTATCATTGAAATATTTATATATAGTAAATAGAGAAATATATTTGTGATTCTTATATTTTGCTCTATTTATCTACTTTAGTTTTGTCCTCGCTCCAAGGTCTAGCCTTTCCTTGTAGCCTATTTAAAAAAAAAAATGTTATTGGTAGTAAAGCACAGTTGCAGTGCTGTTACTTACTTTGACAGCTTTGATTGAGGGCTGAGCCAAAATAACCTGGTTTGCAGAACTGGCAGTTTGCTCCATGGGTGTTGTGTAAACACTTGGTGCATTCCCCAGTGACCCTGTTACAGGACTCTGGGTCTGTCAAATTAATGTTGTTATTACAGGGACATGGTGCACAGTCAAGCCCAGGGCTGCTGAGGTTTTTGTAGAACCCACTAGGACATTTGTCACACTGTTTGCCTGTCAGAGAAAGGTAAGAATATTGATGGCTGTTAGGAATTCAAGTGAAACATGTAATTTCTAGTAAAATTATTAAAAGATTCAGACTGTCTGTTCAAATGCATATTTCAATGGAAAATATTCACCTGAGACCATTGCCCTTTAATTCTCTGAACAGTTTAAATTATATCTTCCCCACTGAAATCTGATGAAAAGACACCCTCCTCATCCCAAGTTGTTTATACCAAGGAAGTCCTTTCAGTAAGAGCAATTAAGTGCCCTATCATACATACAACACTCCAAACACCTTTTTGCATCAAAGTCCATTCAATGGCAGTAGTCAGGGTTAGACATATTTGCAGGGTTTTCCTTGGCCCTTCAGTCCAACAGCAGCATTGGAGTGTAAGGGGGTACCCAGGAGTTCTGATGAACTCTGATGCTCTGTCCTTGCTTGCTGGTATTACAACTAGTACTGCATTTCATCTCAATACCTGCCCTGATTTGAGTGCTACCTCTGCGTCTCAGAAACCATTCTGGGCAGACTGGTGTTCTGAAACCACATCCACTGGTTCATCCTCAGCCAAGGACTTTCTCCCTTCACTGTGCTCCTCAGGACCCAGAGCCTTTCTCAATCTCTGACAAAGTGAGACCACTGCTACAAAGGTGAGCAAGAGTCTTGCTGGAAAGGAGCAGGAGCCATAAAATCCAAAACTGAGGAGTGCAGTGATTTGTGAGGACAGAAGTCCCCTGAGTGAACACCAACATGAGTAATTTTGACCCTACTGCAATTACTCAAGCAAAACTATTCTTGACTTATAAAGGAACCTTGCCTAAGTAAAGATGACAGCATTGGTTTAATTTTCAGCAGTGATTCCCATTAAGTTTTACTTCCATCAGACGAGCTCTTTCTAATGCCCAAGGAAAGGGAAATATCTTCAGCTTTCCCTTCAGGAATTCAACCTAAGTCAACAAGAACTTAGGAAATGAGGAATCAGTTTGTTGCAAAAAGATCTGCATTTTAGACAGCTGAGAGTAGAAACCCATTTACTAAAGTGACCATTTGAACCATGAAGCAGTCACTTTAAGGCTTAATGTCAAAGAGTTTCCTCTATATGGAGAAAGACTTTCTCTGATTAGGAAATCTTATCAGCTCTTTTTGCTGCCCTAATCATTCCCATTTGGGCTTGCAATGGGTAACAAGGAACTGCAGTTCTCCCTGCCTCTCCCCACCAGATTAATGTAATGCCTCGGGAAAGGAGGAGATTTCCAGAGAGTGACATCAGAATAATTAATTACTTCACTGTATCTGCATAGGTGAATCCTTTTTTAAAACACTAACTACACAATTCCCATTCTTCCTAGTCAGAACTTAGGCACATCATTTCAGTAAATTTCAATAGTAACTCTTCTTAGATGTTTTATTAGTATTATCTCATTGCTATTTCTGAACACATGACAGGTGGAGGATGATAATTTTTTTTTCTCTTATATTAATTTAAGTAGTATCAAAACCAGTCCTCATTTTGCTTCATACCTGAATATCCCTCGAGACAATTACAGACAAGCTGTGTGGATTGGGAGTCCTGGTAACAGGAATGTGCAAAATACCTATTGCTTGTAGGTGGCCCTGGGCACATGCATGGGTGGCAGGGTTCTCCATCCAGAGGGTTTCCATAATAGCCATCCATGCACCTGCCAAAGCAGTCAACACAAAGCAGGACAAATTGTCAAGTGCTTCATGCAGGTGAATCAATTTACATGTATATATTGAAATTAGTATTCCAGATCATTGTAATGCTATCTCTATCAATTGGTAGAGATATATCAAACTTCAAACATGTTCTAAAATGGAAAATCAGAGCTGTATTCTCAAAATCTGAAGCAAAAAGAATAATACATATGTTTTCCTTTCAAGAAATGTTTGTGAAGACTTTCACCTACTCTGGAACAATTTTAATCTGATCAATTATGATATGGCATATCACATGTACTATGCATAGGCAGCTAAAAGTTGCCATATAAAAATTCTGTATATTTACCTATCAGCACATATATTAATCTATCTCCATCTAGACACACACACAGCAGTAAAAAGTGCTGGCACAGAAAAAAAAGCAATGATTCCTTAAGAGTACTCAGAGAATACTGCATATTTTAGATGCAACATAGGTGTTGAGCCATGGTCTGCTTGACACGTTCTGCAAACTTGGGGTAATGGCTCTTTCAAGGTGCTGGTGTCTGTGCTGTTACCCGAACTGGTGGGGGTTTTCGGGGCTCCCTGGGGGCTCAATCACCCTGCACACCCCTGCTGCCTCCACATCCCAGCCTCCCACAGTCCTGCAGCTGTAGCAACAGCAACACAGAGGCCTCTGGAGCATCCTCAGTCTTTGATCTGTTTTACTATGACACATGGGAGCGCAGCTCTCCATATATATACAGGCAAGGCTAAAAAACTTGGCTATCTGATTATCCTCCCCCTGGGGTCTGGAGATCCTGCAAAGCCATAGGGCAAAAAGTGCTTCAGTCTCCCATTTTTAATCTGTTTGCCATCTACAAGTAGAACAACCAAAGACTGTATTGTCTAAAAGCACTGAGGAGAAGCTCAACAGGTTTCATGAGGAAAACCTCTTAAAAATTAATGACAAAGTACAGTTCAGCCAAAACCAAACTAAAAAAATCTTAATTTTGATGTCCATGTTGAACTGTGATACTGCTGCCAGTGTACAAAATAAAAAAGAGGAGCAGTGCTCTGAATGGAGCTGGAAGGTGTGGGAAAAGTAATTTGCTGGTGACACAGAACTGATATGACCAGCAAAGAGGGCACATTTACTTAAAATCCTTGAAGATAATTACAGCTATTAAAATGAATATTCAACACAATATTCACCTCTTGGCTAGCCTCATGCTGAATTTTAAATTTGAAAGCTGGCAATTTGGAACCTGGCAGGAGTAATTTTATCCCACAGTGCTTTGTGTGTGTCTCCAAGTACATGGTGCCATGGCATCCATGTCTCAAACGCCTTCTTGCAGGTAGCCCGCTGCAATGCTGGGTGCATGCCCTGCCTGCTGTCCACCCACAGGCATTGCATGCATGTTCCCACATGCAATAGGTAATAGTAATGAAACAGGAACCTGACATTCAGCAGCCAGGCCCAGTTTCATGTTGACATGTCAATGACCTGTTAAGGTCATTGATGCATTTGTAGGCCCCCAGCTGCACAGGTATTTTGGAGACCAGCAGTGTCTGGTGGAGCTCTGCAGCACTGCCCACGAACTGACCTCTCACAGCGGCTCCCAGCAGTAAACCCGCGGCAGTTGAGGCACTCTCCGGTCAGAGGGTCGCACAGCTCCGCGTGGCCATTGCAAGGGCAGGGACGGCAGTGGGGAAACCCAAAGTACCCAGCCAGGCAGCGGCTGCAGCGCTGGCCACCCACCTCCCGGCGGCAGGAGCACTGCCCCGTCACCTGGTCACACAGCGTGCTCAGCGAGCCTTGTGGGTGGCACTCGCACGCTGGAAAACACCAAAAGGAAAGCTGTGTCCTTAAAGCACTCCTGCTAACCCATCTCATCCCTCACGCTGCTCAAAGGCAGCAGGGATGGAAAATTTGTTTCTCATGGGAACATTGTTTATATTGCTTGACACATAATCTGGGATTCAAAGCCCTAAAAAATTGGGGTATTGCTAGTGGTACTGGTAGTGGTGCTGGCTGCAAGGCACTCACCGTAGCAGCCGTGGAAGCCAAAGCCATAGCTGCCTGCAGAGCAGGTGTCACAGCAGCGTCCCACGATGTTGGCTTTGCAATGACACTGGCCCCCCAGTTTACTACAGCTGGCATTCAGCGACCCCTGGGGATTGCACTTGCATGCTGGGAAGGGGAAAGAAAATCAAAACAAGTTTGTTTGTCAACGAATTCTACTACTCTCATCAGCTTCAGGTTTCACATTTTAAAATAGGCAGGAAAGAGCTTGATTATTCTTCTCAGGGATTTGCTAACCTGACAATGGCCATAATTTAGATCATTTGATGGTGTAGCATCAATGGTGATGGTATACCAGGCACCAGCACAAGTCTTGGTGTTGCAGTTGCCACATTCAAGGCACTGCCTTCAGCACGCATTTGGGGTAGGACAGAAAGGGTGTGGCAAAGTGTAGATCCAAATAAAGACATCCTGAAGTCTAGAAAGATTTGCTATAAATCTGCATCTAGTTGAAACACTGGTCATAACCTGTAATCTGTATTTAGTCTGCATCTGTGTATTGTTTGTTTCCTTCTGCACACCTTGGACTAACTTGTTGAGTGAAGATGCTCTGCTAACCCACAGAGGATGTTTGCCCAAGGTGCTCTGGAAAGCACTAGAAAACCAAAGTGCATCATACTTCATTAGGAGAATCTTATCACTTTAGGAATCAGGCCAATGGGGAGTTAGCACAGCCCAAGCCTAAATGAGGGGTTCACTGGTTGCACACTGTGACCTCATCGCCTGATATTAGAGTGAGGCATCAATCCTTCTAAAAATTGCCCAATCCAAGCAGATGCTATCACTTTGGAGGTATTGCTGCTAGGCTCCCTGAAAGAAGCTGGCCACTGAAGTTACCCAGAAAGGCCCCTCCTGTTACTGGAAGTGCAGAGAAGTTCCATTTCTCTGGGTCAAATCTTTGGGAAATTCCCTGAGCTATTGAGCCCAGCTAATGGTGGGTCCAGGAGGCTGCCTAGGCATTTCAAACCCCACTTGCCATTGCCTTCTTGCTGGAATATCATTGAGGTTTTCTTGGTGAATCTCTTCCAGTACACTAACTTATGTACCATCATGTCTGGAATCTTACCAAGGCATTCAACTAGCCTACAGCATCTAGAGAGAGGGCTTAGAAACTTATCTGTCATTTAATAGCATCCAGAAAAGAAGGAAAGTTACTCCCTTGGCCATATGGTAAAAGCATCTGATTCAAATGCTTTTCAGAAGACACAAAATCACTGCCATGGTCCCTCTCATGGCGCTCCATGAAGCCCATCATGAGTGAAGAATTCTGAGATTCATGCCACCAAGAGATGTTTGCAGTGCACGCAGGGTTCAGTGGTATATACCCTGCACATCCATGGATATCACATGCTGGCCATCTTCACTTCTACATCACTGCAGGCTGAGAGCTCTACAGTCAACATATCCTACAAACTCAAGGGAAAACCAGGAACCGCCCAGAAGAGCTGCCTGAGCAGCTGGTCCTTACCGACGGCGCCGTTGTGAATTCGGGCTGACAAGCTCACTATGAGCCGTGCGCATGCTTCGGGCAGGACGTGAGGCCCAACTTCGGATGCAATTTCAATACAGTGATACTTCTGGTACTCATCTAGATCCTTTTCACTGCATAAGTTCTCCACAGAGCCAATTCTGGGAATAAGTCCAAGCTTTGTCGTTAAGAGAGAAAAGAAAATATTTTTGCTTAGATATATTGAAAACCAGAATTTACCACATTCTCTTAATGTGCTTTCCATTGCAACGACAGAGGCCTGGGTTTCCAGATCTGCAGTTGTGCCATTCTGTCATCTATATTCACATTCATTCTGAAGGTCTAAACATTCCATGAGTTGTTCAAATAAGAGAAACTGTGTTTAAAAAAATAAAATTAAAATAAGGCCTCTGATACATGCTCAGAACTGGTCTTGCTGTGTTAGTGACTCCAAAAGCAGTGTCTGGCCAAAATTTTTACTTTTATTACTGTGATAAAGAAAAATCACTGCCGTGATACCACTGAAGATTCTATATCCAAGTATAGCCAGCCCTTGCTAGGTCCAGTTCTACAGGAATAATTAGAGAGATAGACCTAAAAATATTTTTCTCAAAAGAAGGACCAAAACTAACACCCAGTTCCTAACTTAATGGAAACTTGGGAAATATCTGGACCTGATTCTCAGGAAGTACATTATTAATTTTACTTTTCCAATATAATAATTAAAAATATCCACGATCCAAACAAATTAGAGATATTTTAAAAAACCTAAGTGATGAGGAGCTGTACAAATTTATATTCATAGCTGCAGCATCTTATCAGTACATATATATTTATATGGACTGTGTTCATAATCAAGGACCAACAGATAGAGATACATGCAACATATGCAACAAGTATGACTTGCATTGCTCCATGAATAGAGATACATGTAACATATGCAACAAGTATGACTTGCATTGCTCCATGAAATTGTAATCAGATACAAATCTGCCTTTCCATACAAAAATATGCAAACAATGCCAGTGGAGAAAAACAGAAGCTGAATTTCTTTTAAAACACGTTATACATTATTTAAAATATTTCCAATAAGTCTGTAAAAAAAAATGATCACTGTGTATAAATACAACCTCAAGGGACTTGTGACAGAACTACTCACTGAGTCAATCAAGATGAATGATTTTGCATTTTTGTCAGAGGCAGAGAGGTGAGAAAAATACACATCCACAAAATATTCTGTTCCTGGCTCCAGACAGACTGGAGTTTGCAGAATTGCAATCCTGTTTAGCAGAAATGAAGCACAGGTATAGCCAGAATTAAGCACAAGACAAGTTTACTGGATGTTGTGAGCTCTCCCTTCCCTCTGTGCCTGCAAACTGATGCCTGCAGCCTGGAACAAGCCATGCTGCTGTAAGAAACACACCCAGCCCCATGCTTTCAGACTTTGGGAAAGCTGCAGGACTTCTTCCAGATGATTCACTAAGTGCAATTTAATTCTGGGGAGATTAAGCTGAAAATGGCAGGTTTTAATACTTCTAGCAAGGGGGTATGCAACTCACTGTTCATATTCATCCTTTCCTGTCCCTGTTTGATCAAGACATTGGTCACATCCTCTTAGCTTCTCTCTATTCCTTACACAGGTCCAATCTGAAAAGCTGGTTTTGAAAATAGACTAGGACAGTGAATTTACGACCATATTTCCTTTCTAAACTGAAGCAGCAGAAGTTGAATCTTCACCAGAGCAGCCAATCTCAGCTGGATCTCAGGCTGCTCTCCTGGATTTGGCAAACCTTTGCCAGATTAAGGACTGGGGCATCAGACTCTTCCTTCGACCCTATGTAGTATTGTGGTGTGCCAGCAACAGAAAAAGCCACACATGTGTTTCTGATATTCCCACTATCCCACACATTTGTTGCTCTGCATTGCTTCAGTAAATGATTTGTACACAGAAGATCTACAGCCAAAAAGACAGCAACAGTCAGACCTCTTTGTAGCTGGGAGAGGCAACTCATGTGGTTCATGTGAAAGGACCTTGTTTTTGCAGTGTTGACCTGACAATATACCAGCAGGCTGGATGGCAACACTTGCAAGCCAGTCTTCCAAGAACTATAAACAAAAGACAAAAATTATAGCTATATTTTGTATCTGAAAAACCTGCTTTCTCTTTGCAAGCGTTAATGAAAGCCATGTAAATCACTGCACACTGCAGTGACAAGACAGACTTTTTCTTCTTTACAGCACTGAAAACCAATGTTATTTGTGAATGTGAAAAATTCATTGTATTTGCAACAGCTAATGAAAAGCAGAGACGGAAATGGGACCTTAGCTGATTCAAATGGAAACAGCTCTGTTAGAGTCATTGGAGTTGTTTCTTTTTTTAGCACAGTGTTATTCTGGAGATATCAGTCATTAGCTGCCTTCTCACACATCTAATAAGAAATAGTAAACATAAAAGACTTTGTAGCAAATGTATTTAAACCCCAACTCTTCAATCCTTAGACAGAAAAAGCTGCCTCAAACTAGCCCACTGAAAAATTGTTCCCATGTTTTAAGACATAGGGAGATTGTTTTGCCTCAGAATGCCAGTCAGAGAACAGAACACAATAGACAGCAGGAAAATCTTAAGTTGTGGGACCGTCCCAGAGAATTGCAAAAGAGTAAGGAATATACAAAAGCTGGTACCAATAAAACACTTGGCATGTGTTTTTGAAGACATGGGTAAGGACCTGAGTTTAACCAGATTTGGATTAACAGATTTCTCTAGACATGTCATCATCATTAAGAAATCTTTTCCAGGCAAAAAATAGTAATTTGGCTATTCTCCTACAATTTTCACACATCTCAAAGTCCAGCTGGAACAAATGGGAAGCAGGATGCCAACAAAAGGCCTGGTTAAGTATCTACGCAAGTCACTCCTGCCTGTACACATTTTCCTGCCCAAAAAAACCCAGCTAGGAATACAGGATGCTTGTCTAAAAAGAACTGCATTTTCCATGTGTTTGATTTTTGAGTAAAAAAGTCCAGTCCAAGTAAAGGTGCCAAAAGAGAAATATTCAGAAGTTGAAATCTTGGTCAATGCTTAGAAACACTTTTAGTGCTGATTTTTCATATTTGAGTGGAAAGGGTTAAGGGAGTCTGTGGAGAACATATTACTTGGTTGGTAAGGCAACTTATTACTGGGTGAAAAGCCGAGCAATTTAAATTTTAGATATAAAGAATAGGACAAGTTGGTCATCTTATTATTCACAAAATAGATCCTGCACCTATCACAACATCACAAGATATCACAAGTACCTCAGGCTCATAACGAACTGTGATATCAAAGTCCATAGCAAAGGGAACATTGCTGATGGCAAATCTCAGCCCAGCTCCACTGGGAACGCGGGCGAAGCCATGTCCTGTCCATGTGACAGCCCGACCAGCGCTGGGCTGCCGGAACACCACTGCCAAATCTGAGTCCTGTCCAAACTGCATCGCACCCTGCAAACACACATTGACATTTTCAACAACACACAGAGTCAAATTACAACAAAAACAAACTCAGAAAAAAGAAAGGAAATATTTTTGCCACATTGTTTACTTATTTTAGCCATCAGTCTAATTTTCTGAATAAGCTCGAGACTGACAATCTAAGAACTCTCCCAAAGGTAGGATATTTAGGGGCACATGTAAAGTAAAGCAGCAACAGTAATAAGAGGGACTAGAATAATCCACTCACCTCTGAATATTTGGCATCTCCAAACATTCACATTGCAAACCTTAAACAGAGTAAGCCTGATTTCATATATGACTGGACTATTCCATTATAAGCTGGATACATAAATGTTAGTACTTACAATGGCTGCATTTAAGTGCAGAATGTACCATGCTAATGTCTTGGTAAACTTCTTGAAAATATCTTGCAACCAAAAAAAAAAATTACCTTTCATAAGGACTTTTCCAAAAATTCATGGAACTTGAGTCTACAAAAGCACTGGACATATCAGAGCAAGCCTGTCAGTGTGAATAATAAAATGTCCAACCCAACTGTGTACCAAAAAATTGATTTGTGTCAGGATTGCAATGTCTAAGATGGCAAATCCCATGTACTCAGGCATTTGCTTGCCCTTTGTTACAAAATGAAATTTTATTATTTGGTGTAAACTTAAGTAACTACTCAAGTACTAATTTACCTGTTCCAGTCCAGATTTTCTTGCAGCTCGTTTCTTATTCTTCTGTAACACAATCTTTCCATTTTCAATCATGAACTCATAGCCTTTCTTCTGGAAGTAAATATCACACCTTGGAAGAGTGCTTGGCTGAACCTATGAAGTAATAAAAGAGGAGAAGCACTGTCTCAACAATGTTGAAGGGTGATAAGCAAGTAAATGAAAATCTACATTCTTAAAACAAGATCTATTCTCACTGGGAGAAACTCTAAACTGTAGCCCAGCAGCTGCTGGGAACCTTTTTCCCTTACTTCCTTAAAATTAACTTGCACTTTTTCCTCATAAGCTTTGTCTCAGACATCTGTTTTCCATTTAATTATTGGATTGTAGTATAATTACTAACTGTGATTATAGATAGATATTTGTGGATGTGACCTGCAAATAAACAGGTTTTTTTATTATTTTTATTATTTTCTGTACAACATGCCAGAGAAAAAATGTTAGCAAAAGCATAGACAGAGGAAGGGATGCACTCCAGGCTTGCATTCAGCATGGGTAACAACTACCCCCATGTTGAAGGGCGAAAAAAATTAATTTTTCTAAAAACATTACAGATAGATGCCAAATTCTTGAGGAAATTAGGCTACAATCAATGTCGTTATATAAGGTAGCAGGAATTAGTCCAATGGAGCAGAGAGTAATTTGATTCTTCCCTTGCTGGAGATTCCCAGAAATGAAACATTTCATGAGAGCTATTGGTAACTCAAATACTTTCTTCTAATTTAAATAATTAAATTTATTTCCCTAATTCACACTAGACCAGCCTGCACTTGAGAAGCAGCAAGGGCAGCTTTGCAGGTCATACCACACTGTAGTGACTGTCCCTTTTTAACAGCCACAGTTATGGAATACTCATGTCCATGAAAAACAAAGGCAAATTGATGATGGTCAAGGGACTTGCTTTGTGTTTTCCTGCTAAAGAGCAGCTCCCCAGGCAAGGGCTCTCCTCCTTACCCTCAGCTCCATGTCACCACTGCAGTAATCCCCCTCTCAGTACACCTAAAAAGCCAAATACCTACCAAGGGTGCAGAGCCAGAAAGGGGCTTTGCATGCTCAGCTTCATAAATGTAATAGTCCAGGGGTAGAAAGAAGTATCCTGGAGCTGGCTCGTTGCACTGGCGGCTCACGATGTTGGGCAGACACTCGCACTGACCATCCTTCAGTGAGCACCTATGGGAGGAATTGGAAAAGGGAGCACATGAGAGTGGCACAGCTGAGTCCTCCCAGCATGAGGGCAGCTCACACCCACCCTCACTCCACCTTTGCTTAATTTCTCCCATTGCTGGATCACCTCCATTACTAAACTTCTTCGTATCACCCATCTCCTCTGCTTCTGATGCTGGATTTATTCAATGCTACTTTTCCATGACTTGAGTTCACAACCTCCTTTGTCTTTGTTTGTTCCATACTGGAAGCACTGTCCCTTTTGTTTCCTGAGCATCTGTTACTCTCTATTCCTGTATCATTTCTTGTATCTTTTTCTGTAAGAATCACTATATCATAATTCTTAATAATCTTTCACCCACAATTATGGAGGCAGGACATGAGATCAGAAGGACCTTTGATGTGATATTGAATGTTTTCATAGGCTTACACATATATTTAACACACCAGGTGATTTACCTGCTCACAAGGAGCTGCTCTACATCATGGGACTGTATGCTCCTCTGTCTGAAGCCTAACAGCAGTAGTGAAGACCCCTGCCCAACAGATTTTTGGAGGACCCCAACTGAAACCAACCCTGCTTCTAAAATTCTACATTTTAAATAAGACCCAGAAAAAAAAATTCTAGGATTTAAGGTAGGAAGCTAAGTTAAAAATCTCACCTCTAACTTCTAATTTCTAATAATATTAGGGCCTCTGGTTCTCTCAAGGCATATGTTTTATATTTAATATTAAATGCATCTAGGGTCAACCTGATTTAAGGCTGGCTTCAAAGGAAATAGGTAAATCTCATTACCACAAATAAATTTCCAAGATGTCCACCCAACTTTACACTGTTTGTATATGATGAAATTCCATCTACCTTCTATTTTCCTATTTGTACTGTGACTGTATTAATCAGAAAATCTATCCTAAGAGTTCATAAAAATTAAAACTAAGAAAGAACTTGAAGAACTTTTAACTTACAAGTTATTCTGGGATCCACCAATATCACAGTCGCATGGAGAACAGCCATACAAGTTGTTGCCAAGACCCCAGTATCCTGCCTGGTATAAAAAGAAAGGTTCTTTTATGGGAAATGCTTAAGTATGCAAAGCAAAACAAAACTCGTTCTGCTGGATGAACAATGGAGCACTACTGTGCTTGGCCATGGGAGATTGCTTCTCTTACCGGATAGCAGGGGTGCTCCGCCACTGCAAGAGCCAGATATTTACCCACTTGTACAAGCAATTGCTCTGTAAACAGCTAAGATGGATCAAGGATATAATTTTGCATTTCCTTTCCTTCCTGGGAATGCTCCTCCCCATGCAATTTGATTGCACAAATATTTGGGAGCAGTGAAAGAAAAGCAGACATGTCAAGACAAATTGGGAGCACACAGCTACAAAATTATTTTGAATTTTGACTAATTGTTTACTTTTCTGGCAACGAAAACATGTGGGATGGATGAGGAGATTTCCAAAACCACATGCAGAAGTGAACCCAAAAACTGAGTACGTACAAGGCATTTTTCACAGCGCTGCCCTGTGGTGAACCTCTGGCAGAGGCACTCTCCCGTGGCAGGATTGCAGACGGAGAAGGGCAAGCTGCCCAAGGGATCACAGTTGCAGGCTGCAGGGACAGAAAAGTGCAGTTACCTCTGCAGGCCTCAGTGACAGCTCAGGACTGGCATTTATATTAGATGAGGCATCAGCATGTCAGGCAGACTCCATCCTCCACCCAGACACTCTGCAGATTAATATGCCCTGGCACCCTCCAGCCTTCAGACTGCCCTTGGAAATGGACAATTTCCTCGGTGGGTCCCTCTCTGGGAGGAGCAGAGGCACTTGGCAGAGGTTTGCCAAGTGCTGTGTGCTGATCTGCGCTGCAGTCCTTGTGTGTGGCTGAGCACCTGCTGTGGGCAAAATGTGGTCACAAACCCACAGTGCACCTGGGCAGGGGTGGGATGTCTTTTCACCAAGCCTTTCTCGGGGGAATGGCTGGCTGGAAGTTCTTTTGGCAAGGCAGCAGCTCCTGTCATCTCAATATCCCTTTTCAATTAAGTTGCATATTTAATAACCCTTCTTTTAACAACAGTCTTATCTATTATACTATGTGTTCTGAAAGTGATCTTGGATGCTGCACCAGAAACCCTGAATTTTGTTGACATTAAATTACAGTAGGCAACTGTGTATTTTGTGACACAAGTCACAAGAGCATTAGTGTGTGGATCTGTGCATTCAGCTACCTCCATGCCTTAAAAACGCTTTGGAAAGGAGACTAGAAGAGGTGGTTTACATACGCTGGCAGCCCAGGGGGTCGCTGCTGCTCAGCCCGTAGTAGTTTGCCTTGCACTTGTCGCAGCGAGCGCCCTCCACGTTCTCCTTGCAGGGGCACCGGCCCGCGACCGTCCCCAGCGTGGGGTCCGTGCGGCTCTCGCACACGGCCTCGTGCAGGGAACCCTCGGGGTCACAGCTGCATGCTGCAGGCAGGGTCAGGGAGACACACAAAACAAGCACGTGTAGAAGTAATCATGAAAATGTAATTACAGAGCTGCTGGTAATCTGCCCTTGGCTCCTTAAGGACTTTTCATGCCAATCAGTTGCTACAATTAAATAACAGAGCATTTTCTCCATCCTATGTTAATAATGAATTTAGGTCATCTTTCAGAAGAAGAGCTTTCATGTCTGAATGATTATTTTTCTTGTGTATGGCAGGTATCTGGCAAAAGTTATTTACTCCTCCCATCATTTTGGAGCCTCTTTTGTAATTGCTGAAGGTCACAGAAGCAACAACACTACTGCTATTCATATTTATATTAACCTTGTTCAAGAGAAATGATAGCTTTGCTGGATTTCTAAGCTCTGTTTAGCAAGGAGTTGGAATATGCAGCTCTTTTCACAATGCTGGTTGGAGGATACTGTCATGCAGATACTTAAGGCAGTTTGGATGTTACAGGTTTGGTAACATTTTTACAACCATGTGGACATTTAAGCAGGGGGATGGCCATAGGGCTCAGAGCAAAGGGAACCAGAACAACCCTGTTTTGAGTCATTCTTACAGAAGTTAAAAAGGGAAGCTTACGGAGGCACGGCCAAGGATCTGAGATGTCTTTGAGTGGATCCTGGTAAAAGGAAGGTTTGCACCTGTCACAGTGCTGGCCGGTGGTGTTGTCCTGGCAGTCCTCACAAACGCCGCCGCTGACCCCACCGCTGGCCTGGTACACGGCCATGTCAAAGTGGCATCTGCTGGAGTGGCTGTTGCAGTTACAACCTGAAACCAAAGCAAACAGTGGGGTATGTCACACCATGTAAATGCTGTGGTCTGGCTACATTGCTGTCTACACCTAACACAGGGTTACTGGTTACTTTCATGATTTCAGTGCCCAGCAAGATTATTCGCAGGCCTTGTGTCTTACAGCTGGGGGAAAAAAATTGGAGTCTTCGGTCAAAACTATATCCTAAACCTGGAAATGTAGGTGAATGTGCCTCATATGCAGTGGGAACACTGCTCTGCTGAAGAAATCTCTAGCTGAATATCTGTTACGGATCCTAATATATTATTCTTGTGTATACTGCATTACTCATTATTGTGGAAATAAATAATTTAGCCTTTTCTAAATTCTTTCACTTGCATGAAAAACACTGTGCAAACCAATGAATGATCTTTTTTGCATTAACTGCTTTCCCCCCTCTTTATTGTTTTGGTTGGTTTGTTTTTTTTTTTTTTTTTTTTTTTCTGTATGAAAAATAAGAATATAAAATATTCTTAAATATTTTAAATTTCTTAAATATATAAAATATTAAGAAACAGCTCTTCTTCTTGTAGGATAACACAGCACCTGTGGATGCAGGAATCTGTTTTTCTGGATGAGGCATGAAAACACCTCCCTTCCAGAAACCTGGCCATCCCAGTATGAATTTAATGGACTAGGATTGTGCCACACCCACTCCTGGCTATTAAAAAGGAAAATATCATGCTTGAGTTACGTTTGCAAGCATTATCTTGTGTCCCTTCAGCTGGCCTCCAGGGAGCATCATTGTAGAAATCTTTACATCTTTCACAAGAGAAACCTTCAGTGTTATGGTGGCAGATACATCTCCCATGGACCTGTAATTTGGTGAGAACAGAGATAAGGT